AGACAAGATCTCTTATAATAATATTAGATTTCTAACTTATTCTCTAAGATACCTATAATAATAATAATAATAATAATAATAATAATAATAATAATAATAATAATAATAATCTACACCAGTATTGCATCTGAATCTGATATTACTTGTGCCATCACATGAATAGAAAATTGAACTACACTTAATTTTGGACTCGAAGAAAAATGAAAGGTATAAGTATCTTTAACAAAAGTTAATTCAATATTTTTCTTAGTTTGATAAAATTTCAGTAACAAATGAGAATTTGCGATTTTCTCAGACAAAGGAGGGGGCATACAGATAGAGGCAGGCACATACACACACACGCACTCCACAAAGGCAATTAAAGGACTATTATAGCCATTGCCAAGTACTATTCACCGTACTCTTCCTAAAACATTCTTGGTCTTGCTTCTGACTGAAACACGAGTTCTTCCTTCATGTAAGAAATTACCTAAAGGAGCGATCATTTACAATGATATTGCATGCCATATACACCACAGTTTTTGAAACATCAGACAAGTACAGTTGCCCTACTGATTTTCTTCACTCACTGCCCTGACAATAGGAATTTCACTATCAGCTATTTCTTCTTCGTCATCATCATCATAGAGTTCATCTAACTCATCTAGTATAGACTGGTTAATTCTCTTGCGAGATTGTCTCCTGTGTTTCTTGGTTTCCAATCTTGGCTCAACTCGCTTAACACCCATTTCGCCAACCTTGATCCTACCGAAATGCCGGGCAGAATATTATGGAGCAGAAAATTTAGAATTTAGGAAATATAGTGGTAGCAAGTTCATTGATTCAGCATCAAGTAACAGTGAGAACCCAAGAAGAACAAGAAAAATGACTCTAAAAAACTTTTGGTAAGATTCTAACATCAGAAGAGCATATACTTTCAAATATGCATCATAATCTTATTTCAAATTCAGATGCGTCCCTCAGATTCTATGAAACTTTGAAATGGAAATTCAGATAAAATACCATGAATATGTTTTAATTGAACATATACCTCACACCACTCTCTCTTTTGGTTCCGACTGTCCTCATCTGAAACTCCTCTCTAACTTTAATCTCATCCAGAAATTGGAGGTAGAATGCGTATCTTTCCCAGTCCCCTTTCACAATGCATCCTGGTTCACCAAGATGCAAACAATTGCTGAAAGAACATTTTTCAGGTGCACTGTCTTTCAGCATTTTCTGGATCTGAAAGAAAAATAGCAAACTCAGTCCAAATAATATATGATTTAGAGGAACTAAAATCAGTATAAAGAATCATTGAAGCAGACACCTCCGGGAAACATCGTGCAAGGGATTGTTTTGTTACTTTCAGCAAACTAGGTTGGTTAAATCCCGGGGTATCAGCGAGGTATCCACCTCCAGACAATGGAAGCAATGAGACATTTCGAGTAGTGTGTTTTCCTTTGCCGCTCCTTGTGGACACTTCCCCAACACGCTGCTCTTCAAACCACTTGCTTCCTAAAATCTAACGTCGGGGAAGGGGAATGGAGTGAGTATCAGTTACATGTTAATAAGGAAATACAATTGCATGGAAATACTATAGAAGGGAGGGTGATCCTACAGGTTCAAACGAATTGTCATCTTGAGGAACACTTCCGTTGCCTCTTAAAGCATTGATCAAACTCGATTTACCAACACCACTGGGACCAACAATTACAGTCGTCTGGTCTCTCAAAATGAACTTCAGTGTATCCAGTCCATGTTTAGTATCGACACTGCAAATAACTGCTTCATAGCCCCAACCGTGAAGCCGAGATTTCCACTCCGCCAGTGTCTTCAGAAGTCAGTTTTCAACCAAAAGTCAATAATGGGACTAGGAGAAACAGACTGGACAGGAATAAAAGAAACAAAGGCACCCAAGAATACATATATGACGGTGCAAGAATAAAAATATTTGAATGGTCGGAACATGGGCCATTTGTTATGCATGCCAGTATTAGTTTAGCATGTGAATAAAACTGCAGAGTACATAGAACACACGGCATTCACATAGGTTACCATTGCACTATTAGCCTTAGCAGACAAATTAGTAGAAGTCATCATCACTGATGGCAAAGATGTTAAAAAACAATGCAATACACAGAGCCATAAAATCATAATATGACAACTGAAAGTATGTAATTGCATCCTCATACCGTCTGTTGGACAAGCTCCGCCTTATTCAATGCAAGCGTGAGGGGAATTCCAGTAGATTCAGCCTCAACAAGGAATCTAGTAAGAGTGAAGGGCTCAATTTTTGGCTGCTCAAAAGAAAACAGCACCACAAGGTGATCAACGTTGGCCACAGGAGGATCGAGAATCTCACTTTTCCGCTCGAACACGTTCTCAATCATTCCTCGCCTGTCCACCCAATCAACCGAACCTACCAGAACCCTGTCCCCAACAAGCACTCGCCTCTTAATCTTCTTCAGCACAGCCCTCACCACGCACAGCAGCTCCACTCCAGAGCTTCTAGAACCTCCTTCTTGCGAATCGGAATTGACAACCACGCGCATGAAATTAGCTTGCGCGGAGGCGACGGTGCCGATTGCCTGATTTTCGGTCAGCGGAGGATTGTCGTCCTGAGAGAGGAGCGGAGAGAGAGACGAGAATTGCTTCTTGAAGGTTTCGCGGGCTCTTGTTAGGTTCTTCTGAGGTTGGTGCTCCTGCTGGTGCTGCCTCCTGGCACTGATAGGGCATTGGTGGCGGCGCGCGGCGGCTGAGATGAAGCGGCGGTGGCTGAGGAACGCGTTGGAGAGGAATGACGGCAGCTTAAGGCGGAGGATGGATGTAGAAGCAGCCATAGTAACAGTAAACGCGAGCAATTTGACGGTTTTTCGAGTGATTGGGACTGAGTTGAAAGTTATGAAGAGTGAAGAAGAATATTGATCTAATCCATTCTACTTACTAGTAGCTACTGGAAAATGGTTCCGAGGCTAACCAACCTTACCGAGCCTTATTGAGGAAGATTGTTTTTTCTTATATCCTCGAGCTTGTCGAACTCGATTTATGACGCTCGAGATCGGGTCGACAAAAAAAGACCAGTCGACTCGAGATCGATTGAAATCAAAATGCTTGTAAAGTTGTTCGATTCAGTTCAAATTTAACTCGAATTTCAAGTAAAATTATCATTAAGTAAATGTATAAAATATTGTAATATTTATATATAAGAGATATTTTAGTAATTCACTACATATCTCGAGCTGCTAGCAGCTCGACCGTCCAAAACTATGCTCGAGATCAGCTTGATAACATGCTCGAGCCCCTTGAGGTCAGTTCGAGTTCGATCAAACTCGAGCTTGAGCCTAATTTGACTCAATCGCTCGCGAGCCGCTCATTTTATTTACAACCCTAGTCGCGGAGAGTGCAATCTGACACTATAATATTTCTTATTTTTCTTTTTAATAAAAATTGGTATAGTTAATTGTATTCTAATATCTAAGCCCCGTCTTTTAAAAATTTGGTCGCCTTTTTTTTATTTTTTTATTTTTGGCTTAACTCCGATAAAAAAATTCTTCTTTAAAAATAAAAAGAAAATATGATGAATCATGAACATGATATATTTATTTTGTGTTATATTTTTTATTTAGATCTTAGAATGTTTCTAGTGCAATTAAAACCTAATTTTGTTTTAATAATTAAAGAGGAAATAATTTCGAAAACAATTTTCTCCTAGGGGAAAGAAATGATTTAAAAGTTGAAACAATAGAATAGAGAGCATGAGGTCCATGTTATAGAATTTGCAACCCCCAGCAGTATATCACTGCCCAACTAGCCGTTGCTCTCCAAATAGTCAAATACACATAAAATGAACACTGTGAAAATATATCCGTTAAACCCTCTCTCTTCATCCTCAACCAATCCTGTACAAATCATATCCGCCATAACCAGAACCCGATTAAAAAAGAAAGCCTTTGAAAATGGCAATTCGAGAGGGTTCGAACAAATCCCCAGAAAAACCATCAAAAAGACAAGCAGAAGCCAACGAAAATGGGCATCTGTTCAGTCCAAGGTTTCGATCGGTGGCAGCCATGGCCGGTTGGGATGAAGAGTCGCTTTTGATTGCAAGCCTCATCGTCGAGGACACTCCTGATCGCCAAATCAGACATAAAAAGAGATCTGATTTACATGGTTTTAAAACACCACCATCAAATTCCAGAAGGTTTGATCTCGATTCCTTGTTTTTTTTAAAAAAAAACTTAAATGTGTTGATTGACTTAGGGATCTTCTTCTTGTT